CATACTGGAAACTATTTTTCCTCCAGTAAATCAGCATATATATGTATTCTTAATATGAATATTTATCACAACTTAGTCTATAACTAAATATTTGGCATACCATTTAATCATACCATTGTTTCTCTACTCTTATGTTATCTATATTTATTCTGACGATTATCCTCACATTTATAAGAACTTATTCAACTTATGTATCCGGTTGAGATCATGAACTGATTGATGTTAGAGCACCATTGAAAACTTAAAAGCACCAGAAGGCTGTTTCGTCACATTGTGGGACTCTTCAGCAGTGCTCGCCCACGATCTCGCTCGCGGGATTCAAACCCAGAGTCCTCGGTCTCGCGTGAAGGCTTAACCCTTAGACTAACGGTTTTAATTTTTAACCTCAACCAATTCACGAAATTCCGCCACCACAATAGGACGAAACGGCTTTCCATTGCTCTCAGGTTTTCAACGGTGGTCTAACATCAATCAATTCATGATCTCAATCAAAAATATTATAATCTCCACGACTCCATACTGATTATTCAACTTAACTGTACTTACTAAACATGCCTACATGAATTCTATTGTACTAAAAATCCTAAATTTATATCTCAGCTAATCATGTATTTTTCATTATTGAACTTTCTTTTAAATTACTAACTTGCATGTAAGGAATATGTGTATTTAAATGCATCTATTGCACAATTCCGTTCAGTAGTGACCCCTTTTCGTTCTCACGTTACTGTTAATTATTGGTAATATTATTTATCAGAAGGGGTTCTGTGGAGATTTAGTATTTATCATAGTTGAAAGCATTAGTCAATTGGATCTAGACCACCATGGAAAACCTGGAAACACAGGACGTCCGTTTCGTCCTATTATGGGACTCATCAGTGGCAGTGCGCATCCACAATCCCGTACTCGTGAGATTCGAACCCAGGACATACCAGTCTCGAGCCAGAGCCCTTAACCGATAGACCACTGAGCTGGCATCCAACGGTGTTAATGTCTAACTTCAACTGATCCACGAAGTTGAGCAACCATTCACCAATTGTCGTCAGTGAGTTCCTAGCTCATGACAGACATGGTTTGAACTCCACTGGTCACTGCTTCTCACTAGAGCTCTTGGATGTACTTCTCGAAGTCACTAGTGAGCATATGAATATATTAATTAAGGGCTCCGGCTCGAGACTGGTAGGTCCTGGGTTCGAATATCGCAAGTGCGGGATCGTGGATGCGCACTGCCACTGTGGAGTCCCATAATAGGACGAAACGGCCGTCCTGTGTTTCCAGGTTTTCGATGGTGGTCTAGCTTCAATTGACTCATGCTTTCAATTATTGGTAAACCTGCCAATTAGATTCATACTGTGAATGACTTCATTTTGGACTTACTGAGATTTTTTTATTTATGGTACCATGTAGCCCCGTATTTCAAATTTAAATAACATAAAGTCATTTACAGGTTTACTGGTTGCTCTGATTGGTAGTTTGATGGGTAGGGAACGGATTCGAATATTACCTGGGTTATGGAATATTTTAAGCATATAAATTAAACGCGTTGATGGACTCTTGTTTAATAAAACTGTTCTACTATATTCGTGTGAACACAAATATAGTTGATGGCAATAAGGATTAATCGATTTATATCAAAAATTTATTGGGCCTCGAAACACTAACCACCGAGTTTTCTCTAACTGAGTACCTTAAAGATAATAACCTCGTTACAAAATGTGGATATTATGGGTTCGATCTCAAACTGTGTGATCAGGATACACCGACGATATGTCACAGGACGAAATAAGATAATTGTTTAGTCCTATTCGATGATCACTAGTTGTATACTCTCAATGATAACAACCTTTTCTTTATTTAACATCATACATCTGATCACAGCAAAATGTTTTAATCATCAGTTATCGAATAATACGACTGTGACTGTCCCGTTTTCTAAGTATTTAACTTCTGAATATCACGAAAAAGATGTATAAATGTAAGTAAACAGTGATTAACTGTCATTTATATTCGTTCGTAAATATCGACAATCAGTCTTGCAACTACAACATACATTTTCATCGCTGATGGATAAATCCAATGGTAATCATCACTAGTTTCTCCAAAGAATAGACGATGAGGAAAAACTTACGAATCGATGTAACGGTTCTTCATGAATTCTTCTGTAAACACCCTAAGAAAGCCTGTAAATACATGCATTCGATAGATACAAATAGTTAATTTGAACAAAAATTGAAATAATATAGTTGACATTTGAAGATCGCATAGCTTTTACAGTTTAGATTATTATCTGATCTTAATTAGATCATCATTGAAAGCCTGGAGTCAATGGACTGCCGTTTTGTCATTATATGGAGTTTTTAACAGTGCGTATCCACGACTCGTCATTCAAGAAGTTAACCCAAGCCTTTAGGTAACCCACACGAATGCTCACTTTCTAGACCTTTGACCCGGCATCAGGCAGTGTTAATGTCTAACTACGGACAATTCGTGATATTGTGCAACTCTCGACTATTGGCTACGATGGATATCTTTCTCAAACCAGACACGAATTGAACTCCACTAGTCATGGCATATGTGAATCTTATGAGTTTGTATCATTGAGAATGATCACACTGTAATGGTATAGCTGGAAATTTCTCACAGGCTTTTAAAAACTTTCTTACCTGACTTCGCTACGTGATTTCAACAATGTTTTTGACATGAAAACCAATACAGTGCTGTTGAATTAATTAACTTTAGCCTATAGTTGACTACTTCATAGCTTATAATATTATGATTTGCTTTCAAGGGTTTGAAATAAGAAAATGTTTCACTCAATTGTGTTGTATATAATTCAAACCAAAGAAGACATCTTAGCTTCAGTTATTTCATGGTGCAATACGACAATATTACGCAATAACCAAGAGAAATCTCAACCAAAGTAACCAAGAACAACATCCAAATCTTTAAATTATCTGTGTTAATAATCTGATATTGATTTAATCTAATTATTGAATAATTATTCACCTTCATTAAGCTATTCAAATAGTGAGGAAACTAATTTTCACCACAGAAAAAAAATATGGTGACATGTTTTGGTTTGTCAATGGTAGATTACTCTAAAACATGCATCTTGTCTAATTCCCAACCTGTAATGTACATATATCTTCATCGTAGTATTAAAGCTAACACGAAACCGCAGATTTGATGCTTCATTTTACAGAATACTGATGTAGTGAACAGAACACTAGTTGGTGTCAATCGAATGTATTTTTAAAAAAAATTACAGACTATCTCAGTAAATTCTGATAACCATACAATGAACAGTTAATTTGCAAATTAACAACCAATAGTCTCGATCTTCACTGTTTCTTCTCTAATTACATTTTTCGTGCATTTTCCTACCAATTGCGCTTCATTTCAGTTCTTCCCTCATCGGAGTTCTGCCAAAATACATTCTATATCTGACCAACAACATATACTACTTATACGGATATAAGTAGACCACACCACACTGAGTCCAGATAGCCACTAACTTATCTCACTGGACTGAATATATTTCTAGAGCTTTGCCATTTCTCGCTGATGATGAAATTTATATTTTACAACGCGTGACTAAAGGATATATTGCATAGAACCCATAAATGGTAACACAAACTAGTCAGATATAGTACCATATATCAACTATGTGAAGTGAAAACCCTAACCAATATAATAGGTGATAGTATTTGAAATTTTATGAATATAAGAGGATACTAGTTTATTCAAGATAACAGATATGTTTTACTTATAATTAAAATTTGAAATAAAGTGTAATATCAGAAATTCTCGCTGATTAGTCTCAATCATTTAACGTGACGATAACATATAAATTCATGCCAAGTAACAGACTATTGGACCTTCAGTCATTTAATGAATAGAACTCGGTTAATATAAAGTGTTATATAACTTTGATTAACGATCAATTCGTGTATCGATTCTATTGTTTGTCATAAACTCCGTTTTTTTAACATTGTAAGGCGGCCTGCTTGAATACCTGGGTTACCTGTTACTGTCATCTGGATAATTCAACAAGTTATCTGTTTTCTTGTTTGTTTTAAAGCATTATTTTGCCTACTAGTCACATAACATATCCAGTTGCGTTTCTGAAAAGTTTACGATGTTTCACTGTAAAAGTTACAAAAAAGCCCAATCAGAGACATCGTAGTTGTTGGCAATATGTATCGAAAAGAATGAACGTCGTTCATATGTTGATTTCTAAACTACTAACATCTAACTAGCAACTACTCAATATTTATAGCAAGGGTTGATCAAGAAATAAGAAAATGAAACTTCGTGGATTGGTTGAAGTTAGACATCAACACCGTTGGATGTCGGTTCAATGGTTTATCGGTTAAGTGCTCTGACTGGTAGGTCCTGGCTTCGAATCTCGCGAGTGCGGAATCGTGGATATGCACTGCTGAGGAGTTCCAGTATAGGACGAAACAGCCGTCCAATGCTTCCAGATTTTCCATGGTGGTCTAGCTTCAATTAATTCATAATTTCAACTATGAAAAATGAAACTTGTTGAAATATTTTGTACTGAGAATTCTATATTCTTATTAATTATTTGAAAGAAGAGCATTGAATTTCCATAATAATTCGATCGACAAATTACTCAAATCTGATTGGTTCTTATTTAATAATTTTATACAAAAAATCCTATTGGTTGAAATTATCCACACAACAAAAAAATTATTTTAATTTTAATAATCACTAAGATTATATTTGTTTCCATGTCTTTAATTTTCCTATAATCATTTGAATCAATCAACCAATCAACAAGATAGAAAGAAATTATTAGTTAGATAGAAGTTATCTTATATAGAGAAAGGGAACAAATAAAACCCCACATATTTTTCTAGTTATACTTAAGTATATGGTTAAAGAATAAATAAATAAATAAATAATAAATAGGAAACTAATATGTTAGCATGCCTAAACACTTGTGTATGGTATGCAAGTATGTGTACATATATATATATATATATATATTTATATATTGCGGTCGATTAGTAGATAGGTAGATAGTTCTATTGTTAAATGTACATGGATGATGGATAATATAAGTTTCTTCTCTAAATCAACCTATAAACAAATTTCCCTATCGTATAAAATAATGTAAAATAACTATCTATACTAATACATACATATATATCTAAACCAAACAATACCATAGTTTGAATTCTTTTACCATTATAAATTGTATATTGACTTAAATTGAATTTTCATCTTGAACAACCTAAGAATAAGAATAATTTACTTTTCTTTTTGACTTCCAGTTATCTTAGTATTGTGAAACCCTATCATCAAAAGTATTTGAATGTATTCATTTGTTCAACGTATAATACACATAATTTAAACAAAGAAAACTTTGTGTTATTCAGTAGTTTCATACTTTATTTTTTCTCTTGTTCAAATATCAATATCAATATTTTTTCCAGTTGAAGAGTGTGGACTTTAGTTGTTTTTTTTTTTTAAAAAAATGCCTATTATTCAGCTTCTCATACGTAGACACTAATACATATACATATGTACAGGTATTACTCATGAAGCTAGTTTATTATTTCTGATTGAATTAAATAATAACAATCATACTGGTTGAGATGAACACTGAAACATTGAATGTAATCGAAAAATCATTGAATTGGTCAGATTATGCAATGAATGCAATCTCGAATAATAATAATAATAATAATAATAATACTAGTGGTGAAAATAACATTGAAAGTTCTTGGATAATTAATCAGATGACTTGTGAAAAACTGAATATTCCATGTCATCCTCACCATCATCATCGTGATAATGACGAAGATAATGAAGTGAATAACACTATGAAAAAATGTGGAGAGATTGATTATGAAATTAGAAAATCTACTCAACATTTAAATCATGATAATAACAATGATTATAAAATCATGAATACTACTATTAATAATAATATAAGTAGTAGTAATGAATTCGGTATAGATACTTCCAAAGTCAATATTGAAGTTAAGAGTACAAGTCATGATCAATTAATCAATTATGTGGATTATGAACTGGAAACATTGATGAAAACAAACTCTAATTGGAATAATAATCATGATAAATGCGGTAAAAATCTGGAAATATCTAACAGTTATGATGAACATTATGAAAATTCACTAATTAATAAAATAAATAGTAAGATAATCTATTATTATTATTATTGTTTTAATTGAGTGTTTCAGTTTAAACATGAGATTCCCCGTCTCAATCGAATACCATAAAAATTCATGTTGAAACTATCATATTAAATTATTTGTAAGAGTTTTGATATTTCTCAACTGTTGATATTAAGGTCTGCAACTAAACAGTCTTTAATTTAACATATGTGTATCTCGAATGAATTATCTTAGTATTGGTTAGAAGGGGTTTTTGTCGATATTTTCATAGTTGAAATCATGAGTCAATTGAAGCTATGCCACCATGGGAAACCTGGAAACACTGCTTGACGGCCGTTTCGTCCTATTATGGGACTCCTCAGCAGTGCGCATCCACTATCCCGCATCCGCGAGATTTGAATCCAGCATCTACCAGCTTCGCGCCGGAGCACTTAACCGATAGACGACTAAGCTAGTCGGCATCCAATGGTGTTAATATCTTGTGAAAACATCTTGTTATTGTCTTTTAAAATAATAATTTTCATTACATCTGTATGATGATTAGCAATGAAATCTAAAAATCTGGCTTCGTCTCATCCGATGCTCATCAGCTGGATGTATTTGCAGCTGAATGTATTGGTGTTTGCACTGAGATATTATGCTTAATTATATTAACAAGCAATATCATTCTTGAAAAAAATATCATTGTCATATACGATGAATTATGGGTGAGATTATCTTCACATTTTTCATATTCACTAAGTTCAATATGACTAGAAGTTCTGGACAGTTTTCTGCTCATTCAGTGAGTGAGTAGTGATTATTAGAGAATGATCTTCATGAGAGCATCGAATCTTACCATATTTGTGTCGGGATTTAGTCCAATAAATAGGTACATAACAGAGAGTTGGTGGATAACTCGAACTTACATTTCTATAGTAATAGGATATCATTTTTAACGACACTGGAATCTTCTTTATTCAAAATGATCTTCGAATAACTGGGTTTTTTTCTTTAGACAACTGATAAGATTAAATGGTAATTAGATTATCTCACTTTTAACCCAAATAAAAAAAATTGCATTTAGATTAAAGAGCTACTACATTTACCGCTTCAGTTCCCGTTCTAAGAGCTACATTATTTGTGATGGGTACTACATTCGTGTTTCCGGTGTAAACAGTAACACTAACATGTGGCAAGTACATTAAACTATGACAAGCCTTAAATAAGGTGAATGACGTGCATTGAATCCCGCTGCTAGTCACAATTTATGCATTCTAAATGATGAATATTTAGTTTCTTTTAAACAGCACTTCTTTTTTCAAATTAAAGATCTGATATCAACCGAATTATCCTTGAGAAAGAATAATGAACATTTCATTTTACATCTTTTGAAACTTAAACTTACATCTATCTATGATGACTCTCATCTACAAGTAAAAACCAATCTCCATAAAATATCTTGACTAATATTTTTAAACCTCAAAGAAGTATCCAGTCTCTGTAACAACACGCATCGCATAAAAAACAAAGTGAATTTTCTAGTTAAACTCTAGTAATCATAACACATACTACTCAGTCATCTGAATTATAATCAGTAACATTATTTGAACCAATAATTCAGTAGTATACTTTGAAATGACTTCACTCTAACCATTTGTATGATAAACAGTTTACCTTTATTGATAATGGTAATACTCACTTTATTCAATATTATACATTTAATCACGATAAAAAGTGTTTCACCACAAACTATGCTCAATCAAGACAAAATTCAAGTTTTTTTGCGAATATCCAAAAAAATATCAGAAGGGGTCACAATTGATTGATCACTGGGTGGTGATCAATGTCATGCGTGTCAAGTCTTTCTTAGTGCTGATTGAATGCTATCAATCTAGTTGCAATGTGGCCACTAGTTTTGGTGGCTCGGTACTGCATGCACTATGTTGAGATAAGATGGTGGTTGGAGGTGGTCAACAGGAAACCCAGGTCCAGGGTTTCCTGTTGACCACCTCCAACCACCAACTTATATCAGAAGGGGTATTTTGTGGAGATTTTAGTAATTTTATAGTTGAAATCATAAGTCAATTGAAGCTAGACCACAATAAAACAAAACGACTGTCCAGTGCTTCCACGTTTTCCATGGTGGTCTAGCTTCAATTGATTCATGATTTCAACTATAAAAACAAATATGTATGAAAAATTTTCGAACAATGATTGACTGTAACTCGTATACACTCGTAAATATTTATAATTAGTCTTACTATCTTAATATCTGCTTTCATTGCCTAGTATATTTAATGTAATTATCTGTCATCTCTTCGAATAACAAAGATGGAAGTGAAATGAGCGGAAAATTGTTCAAAAATACTTTATATCGCAAATGTATTGGATGATAAAAACGAATGCTCAACAAATTCGAGGACTGATGTCTCATCTGTGACAAATAATTGCTACTTGGCAATAATATGCAATTATGTACAATATGGAATTAAAACCTGGTAAATACTGGCAAAAATTACGATTGAGACAGAAATCAGGGAATGTAATCAGTTAGTGGACGTGTAAAACACTGGTTTCTGACTCACTTGTTGGAATGTATTTATGTTTGCCGTGATAGCTGAAGGATTTGGGTTCAAATTTAAATGTCGTTTTATGTACACGATCCTGAAACTTTTTGAAATAAGACGAAATATCGGTGCAATTCTTCTTGGCTTTACGAATGATGGAAGTACTTCCCAGTTATCCTCAACGACCTAACGTTTTAATACAGTGCACGTGATACCGATTCATTTGGACTGTCTGCTCAATTATTGAAATCGGATTGATGACATTTTATCAGCACTAAAATACTAAAGGAAAAACATAATATCGATCACCACTTTGTGATCAGTCAGTCATACAGTCTTGAAATATTCTTCAATTATCGATGACTGTCCAACTGTTTCAACTCGATGATGAGAGACTTGCCAACTCTAACGTGATCAGATATAACTTAAAACAGAAACGAATGGATACCCCACTGTAGTTTTCTTTTACATTCATTATAAAAGTTATAGAAACTGTATTAACTAAAAGAACTGTTGTAAAGCTAAGTTCTTAACTGAATTGTATCTCTCATCATAGATTACTACTGCCCACTTATTCTGATCTTGGTAAGGAGACCATTAAGAACTAATAAGCACTGAACATATGTTTCGTTAGTGAATGCGACTTATCAACATTGGTCATCCACAATCCTACCACCGGGACTCAAACTCGTAAATACTGGTCTCGAACGCAAACGGTTTCCTCTTTTAATTTCTTCACAATGTTGTCTTTTCTTTTATCACTTAAATGTACTAGAATGTACTAGAACGTGAATTTGTAAATGGTTATATGACATGGCTCAGAATCAATTACAGTGACGTACGTGCATTCACTCTTTGTTTATCATTTCAGTCGTATTCCTAAAATCTCTCTAAACTCTTTTGTCTGATTTAGTTACCTAATCTTTTCTTTATCTACGGATACTATCATTTTTTTCACTACTCAAGGATCAAATTTGATAATTTCATCCTGATGTGCTAATACGGTGTCACAGCTTAAACAGATGAACATATGTCCCAATTTTTACATTGTGTATGACTGAATCGATGACGGAGTTTGATCATCTCTCTAAGCATTAATTTACTAACTCAGGAATCCCAACTACATGCTTACTTAATTTTTATTCTATGTGAAATTGCATCTCAATTACTAAATGTATTTGGGAGCCTATTACAAGAATTTACATATACTAAACGAATTACATTTATTTTAGTATACTTCATCATTGTCGACCTGAGTGGTTCCATGGCTTATGATGCTTCTACTAATTATCTAAAATATGAATAGGAATAAATAAGATGAGATCAGTGATGCCTTGATTTAAAAATCCGTCTTCCATTGTCAAAAGTTTACTAAACTTTGATAACAGTTTATTGTCCTCTAATATGTGGGATATGCCATAAAGTCTTGTTTGATCTAAGTTTCGTTTTAGTTGACATATAGTGTTAGGGGGGATTCGAACTTATGTCATTCATTATTATAATTAGGAATTTTACCGTTGTAACATTGCGGTTGATAGGCTTAGCAAAACACGAATACTCCTCATCTAACTTTTTTAACCACATTAATATATAACTACAAATATTTATTAATATTCTCTTCCATCAACATGACCTGATTTGATTAATTTTAATGTGTCATCCTGTTCCTGATTTTGTATATTTTCGTTTTTCCCAGAGTTTAAAACATTTAAAATTATCCGTTGTCGCTTACAATGCTTGTAACTTCAGGCAATTTGGAAGCAATCCATACAGGATGTACATGTGCCGATAAGAGCCTGATCAGTTGGAGTTTTGAACATCAGTGGGAAGATTCAGACAAATAATACAGAAATGAACTAAAATTTCAACCGATCGTACAAGTTACTGGATTCATGGAGTCAGTAACTTAGTGGATGACGCGATGGCGTTTGGAGAGGAATTTACTAAGTTCGAATCACAGAGTGGACATCAACTCTGGGATGCAGGTACAATTGGCTGACGAGTCTGAAATAGGGTGAGGCGGGCTTCCTAGTTTCCACTGCTAGCCACCATCCATCTTTGTTTATAATACTTGAAATTATTGTAGAATTGTTTATCATTTTTCACTGAACTGTTAATAAAATTTGCTAACTTTGATTATTCCGCAGGAAATAAGTTCGATCAATATCATGGTGATATTATTAACAAATCCAACAAAGAATTAAATAATTTCAATGAGAACAAGACTAATTCATCTGAAGTACAGGGACAAAATAAAGAACTAGGCGACTCATACCATTGTCCTCATTATCATCAAGCTACCAACAATGGAATCATAAAAGATAACTGTCTATTTCAGTCAGCCTTAAGACAACCAGAAAACTCCAAAATGATTGACTGGTCCAATAGCAATAATCAAATGGTCGATGGAAATATTTATAGTGATCACTCAAAAAATGAATGTGAACAATCATTGATTTCCGATAATAAACCAGTATACCCTGATCATATTTCATGTTACCCAACTCATTGTATCACCGATTCGTCAGGTTACACTTCATCAAACTCTTCATTTTCAAATTCATCATCTGAATGTTCCACATCATCATCGTCATCATTATCTTTGGCAGTAGTTAGTAAGATCAACCTACCTACTGAAGATGACGATGCTACTCATAAGAATATAATCAGTAGTTTAGATTGTACTGATGATAAATTTCATTCTAATGGAATAAAAGAAATCAATTATGAGAAATATTTGAATATGAATTTATATTCAACACAAAATGATGACCCGTATTCCCAAAAATGTCTGAATTTGACTGAATTCAATGAAGCCTATCATCAGACTAATGTAAGTAGTAATGTGAATTGTAGAGACAATGGTTTCAATAATACACTGACTGCTTATTTACAGTCAAATAAACATTTTATGAATAGTAATAACCATCATTATAGTAATTTTTTAATGGAGCAACAAAAGTCCACTTGGAAGAATGACATTAATAAATTAAAGACAAGTCTACTTGAAGGTGATGACAATGATGATGAAGAAAATGACGAAGGAAATGATGATGTTGGTCAAGATGGTTATGTGAGTGAATGTGGGACAAGACAAAGAACAGATTATCAATTGAATTTAAACCATACTATAAATGAATTAGACGTTAACTTTCCTATTCAATTAACAAACAGTAATCCTCATGCATTAACAATAGCAAAAAATTATAACAAACATACAGCACATGAAATTGGATTTGTTAGTGGAATGATTGTAGACTATAACAATGATGAAATGATGAACAATATGACTAAAATGTTGAATTTTACACAATCACGACAACTTATCAACAATTCAGCTTTTCCGATTACCGGATATACAACAACAATGACAACAGTTCCACTATCATCCTCCTCTTCCTCCACATCATCATTATCTTTATCAAGGAAAATAATGACATCATCCAGTGTCTCCGTATCTGATATCATTCAAACAACATCATCAACAGCGAATTGTACACGAATAATTAATCATGAGAAAAATAAAAAATTACGTAAACCACGTACAATTTATTCTAGTATGCAATTACAACAATTGGCAAAACGTTTTCATTTAACACAGTATTTAAGTTTACCTGAAAGAGCAGAATTAGCTGCATCGTTGGGATTAACACAAACTCAGGTAAGAAAAAAATTAATCGAGTTATTTATTTGTTTATTTATTTGGTTACTATTGTCTTTTCCAGTTTGTTTCATTTTGTTTGAATAAAATGAGGAAACTATAAGTACGTAAATTCATTTAGTATTGTTTGTTTGAATCTTCTCATTGATGTTTAGAACTGCGACTGGTCAGTCTCTAATTGGCATTTGTGCATACTGTGCGTATTGCCTCGATATAGCCTAAATTCACAAGCATGGTAAATAAAGATGGATAGTGGCTAGCAGTGGAATCCAGTTTGACGCGCGCCCCGCCCTATTTGGTACTCGTCGGCTGGATGTACCTGCATCTCAGATTTGATGTTCACTCTGTGACTCGAACCCAGTAACTTTCGCTTCAAACGCCATTGCGTTATCCATTCGGCTACTGAGTGCTGTGATTTCTCTAACTCTGTACTTATTTAAAATTTGAAGTTGACTGATAATCACATGGCATTTCATGACAGTTGAGATACTAAGTAGATTGCTTTATTCAGTGTAATCTTTAAATGTTAGTAAATTTGACCGGAAGTTAAAGGATTCAAATATATAGTTGAGGAGAATGTTGAGCTCCATTGAATTCATGAACCGATCAATGATAGACTACCACTGAAAAAATAGAAGAACTGGGAGACCATTTCGTCTTAGTTAGAGACTCCTCAATAGTTCACACCCACGATTCAGAAAGTAGGGTCTTAATGACATTGAACAATGTTCATAACCCCATAACAATAAATATCATGTGTTCCCTAATGACTATCTTTAATAGGAGTTCTAGCGGGAATCCGTAACCGGTGAAAATCTACTGTGTCGGGTTTGAAGCAGTTATTCACCGAGAACAATCGAAGACAACCGAAAAATATCGCGAACTTATTGAAGTTAGACATCAACAAATTTGAGTACCGGCACAGTTGTCAAGATGTCAGGCGTTCGCATGCGAGACCGAGTAACCTGGATTCGATTCCCACGTGTCAGTTCGCGGGTGCGTCCCATACTGAGACGAAACGGACGTTCAGTCCTTTCAGGTCTTCAATGATGGTCTAGCTTAGATCAATTCGTGATTTCTTTGGAATGGATTTGATTTTCATTCTTCTTTGTTTATTCACTTCAACTGGACCAATTCACACAGGAGTCTCCCAGAGCCTTCCAGAGTCATCCACTAGGAGAAATTAGTTAAAAGATAACTAATCGATGTTTAGATAATCGTAGTATTAAACACATGAGGTGTTTTGTTAGTTGTCCATTTTTAGTTATTTATAAGGGTTTGGAAAGACTACTGATTTCCTTAACTGGAATCTCAAACTGACATTTCCAGTGCACAGTGAATGTTCACAACCGATTTTAATCTGTGACCTTACCTTTCATTTATTACTCACCAAGTGTACAAATCATCTCTCTGTAGATAAAGTAGGTCTTAGTAAAAATGTGAATTGGTATAAGTTACTATACTTTACTTCAATAAATCATTTGGAAAGTAGAGAGGCAAAATAACTGTATTATCATCATAGGGTAGTGAACAAAACACCGGTTGGGGGCAATCAAATGTATTAACGCAAAAATTACAGACTATCTCACTAAATTCTGATAACCATACAGCAAACAGTTGATTTGCAAATTAGCAACCAATTGTCTCATTCTTCACTGTTCCTTCTGTAAATATCAATCCATCTTCTCTAATTCTATTGTTCATGCATTTTCCCACCAATTGCGCTTCATCTCAGTTCTTTCGTTATCGGTCTTCTGCCAAAATACATTCTACGTCTGACCATCGCCATATACTACTTATATGGATATAAGCAGACCACACTACAATAGTAGGAAACTGGTGCAATATAGAGAGTATTGATGTACTGGTTACCTAAAGATTATAGGTACTCTGTTTTTGGTAAGCACCAAGTAGTACCTGTTGATTGCCTTCGACCATCAAAAAACATAAGTTATATTTGTTGTAATATTGAGTAACTTATATGTGGGTAACTGACCATAATTCTTGATCTGTACTAAATAATAATTCAAAGGAAAGTTTTTAGTTAAGGTCGTATGAAAATACACTAACGAGTAACTGTTTTGCCGAAAGTAGGTAAAAATATCATAATTAATTCACCAAACAATAACTCTATATCTTGCATGGGTTTGTATTTTCTTTTTGTCGATATGCAGGACTGAAAGTGAACTGCCTCTGTAGACATATTTTCACACTGAGTTAATTGCTTTGACAAAGACATTTTGTAACACATTTCTTAGTAAAACAGGGTTGTACCTAACACTGTAATTCAATATACCTAATCTGTACTATTTAGGTCTCTACAGCTGTATGTGCTTGCATCCCAGTGTTGATGTTCATAATTAAACCCAAAACCAACACTTATCGCTTCAGACGACAACGAATTATCCATTGAACTACAGAGTTGTGATAGTCAATAGCTTGTTCAGTGGATAAAAATCAATCAGCCGCAGTTCTGTCATGTACAGCATAATACAAACAATTACAAACAACTTCATACTCTTTGAATAAGTCAATGACTATACTAACTTGGTAGCTCAGTAGATAATGCGTTGACAATTCAAACAAAGGTTACTGCGTTTGAATTTCAATATGGACACTACGATGCAATTACATCCGGTTGACAGGTTCTAAATAGGACAATACGATCGTCCCTAAACTCATGCACTAGTCACCAACTATCATAAAACGACAAGAATTGTTTATTGACTTAATAATTAGTACATCAATCAAGTGGTATATTATAAATAAATAAATAAATAAAGGTCACCGATTGCCAGCCACTTACTTAAGCTCTTACCATTTATATCTTCCGATCAACTGATAAATTTAATCATTACATACTTATCAATTAATAATTAGTAATTTAATAATAATTAACTCACTCAATTTTCAACTGATAAATTACAGCATTTAACTTCTCTCTACATTTGATTCAGTTTGAGCACAAAATGTAAAGCTCAAATTGTAGTTCATTTGGTAACAAGGCTCTACTAGGAAGTTTATTATAATCGTTATTTTTCTCAAAATTGAGAGTACACATCAGTAATAATGATAATTTATTACATTAATGATCGCCGAACTTAGGGATCATCAGGCTGGATTCCGTAAGGATCGGTCGTGCACAGACCAGATTGCGACACTACGGATCATCGTTGAACAATCAGTTGAGTGGAACTCATCACTATACGTCAACTTCATCGACTATGAGAAGGCGTTTGACAGCGTGGACAGGAGAACATTGTGGAAACTTCTTCGACACTATGGAGTTCCTCAGAAGATCGTCAACATTATCCAAAACTCATACGATGGATTACAGTGCAAAGTGGTGCATGAAGGACAGCTGACAGATGCATTTCCAGTAAGGACCGGAGTCAGACAAGGCTGTCTACTCTCCCCATTTCTCTTCCTTCTAGTGATTGACTGGATTATGACGAATTCGACATCTGAAGGGAAATACGGAATACAATGGACTTCTCAGAATCAATTAGATGATTTGGACTTCGCAAATGACCTAGCCCTCCTCTCTCAAACACACGACCAAATGCAGATGAAGACAGCAAATGTAGCAGCAGCCTCCGCATCGATAGGTCTCCACATTCACAAAGGAAAAAGCAAGATTCTCAAATGCAACACGGAGAACACAGACCCAATCACACTTGATGGCGAAACTCTGGAAGAGGTGGAAACATTCAAGTACCTGGGGAGCATCGTTGATAAACAAGGAGGATCGGATGCAGATGTAAAGGCAAGGATTGGCAGAGCAAGGGCAGCATTTCTACAATTGCAGAACATATGGAACTCAAAACAACTCTCAACCAATTTCAAGGTCAGAATCTTTAATACGAACGTCAAGACAGTCAGTCATACTGTATGGAGCTGAAGCGTGGAGAACTACTACGGCCATCATCAGGAAGGTACAAGTATTTATAAACAGTTGTCTACGCAAAATACTCAACATCCATTGGCCGGATACTATCAGCAACAGCGTTTTATGGGAGAGGACAAACCAGCTTCCAGCTGAAGAGGAAATAAGGAAAAGACGTTGGAAGTGGATCGGACATACATTAAGGAAATCACCAATGTGCATCACGACTCAATCCCTAACTTGGAATCCTGAAGGGAAGCGGAAAAGAGGAAGGTCAAAGAACACACTACGCCGGGAAATAGAAGCCGATATGAAAAGGCTGAATAGTAACTGGAAAGAACTGGAAAGGAAGGCTCAGGACAGAGTTGGATGGAGAATGCTGGTGAGCGGCCTATGCTCCTCGACGAAGGGTAACAGACGTAAGTAAGTAAGTAAGTAATGATCGACATTTTGGAATATTGACCAGTGAATTAACCAAACATTTTTTAACTATGATGTATCCTGACTAATTGTAATGGATAGTCAGTTCTGTTGTTAGATAGCTAAATCAATGGACATTATTCAAGAGTTTTTCCATATTAATTTTTAAGTTGGTTTTATATGTTAATAAGCAATTGATATTCTTGATAAATAATAATTATTTTGAGTTATAGAACAGATACTATATATGCGATAGTGTTACACAAAACACTGGAAGGGGGTAGATAATTCATTAAGCTTGTAGTTGAATGGTGTATTTTCACTGTGATTGATTCTTTAGCCACTATCCATTTCTAAACTGTGGTAAATATCCAAAATATTCAGTGAAATAGTGACTGGTCAATGAAATACAACTTTCATCCCATTTAAAATTTATAAAAATTGCCTTCATTACAGAGTTTCTAAGATGTGAAGCTGAGTTGAATATTTCATGCATTTTTGAGCAATGTTAAACTGTGATCTAATAACAAATAAAGTGGTAAATGTAGCCTTAAAGTCAGTAAGATCATACACAATTCAAGTTACATGTATTTATTATTATGATTTTCAATTCTTTCACCAAACCAAAAAATATATTATAAGCAAAGATGAATAGTGGATAGCAATCGAATCCAGGACGCGCGTTTTGTTCAAT